GTCAGGAGGCTGGAACTGCATTTGGGCCTTCCACGTGGGTGGCTGAGATCAAGTTTGGGAGCTGCCTCCCGGGGTATACCTTAGCAGAAAGCTGGACTGGCCGGGACTCGAACCTACACACTCTACCACACCCCAAGCAGCAGCTTAGCCACCACCACCACCACGCCAAACGCCTGGCCCAAGCTTCTCTTTGGATTGCATTTCCTAAGAACTTTCGGGAGCACTCTCGTATGTACGGATCACAGGGAGTTGGGCCGTGTTACAAGGCCTGGCGCTGCTCACACCACTCTGCACGGCAGGTGAGGAGACTTGGGCACAGGGAGACTGAGGCACTTGCCAAGATCAGACAGCTGACAGGGTGTGCGGCTGAGACAGGTGTGACGGTGCTGAGGCCTGCATTTGAACCCCCTCCCTCTGCTCCTCACCGCTTGGGAGGATGAAAAGAGATGAGGGGACAGGAGCTCCCTGACCCCTTCCAGAATGGCTCCGGCCACCAGGGCATCAGATCCCAGCCCCAAGCTCCAGGCCGCCCTCCTGGGGACCCCCCCACCCCGCAATGGCAAAGCCCAGGTCTTCATGGCAGAGACCCCGAAGACCCTTGCATGTGTGTGGAGAACGTGGCGAGGGTCGGGGTGGGGGTGCAGGGACAGCCAGGACAGAGCCGTAAGTGGAAAAGGGGCCAGGGCAACGGGAGCCGGTGCACCAGTGACCAGAGAGCCAGTAACATCGGCCAGGTGGCAGGGAACAGACTGGCAGACAGAAACGTCTCGGAGCGCGTGCATGTGTGTGCACACGAATACACGCGTGCTCTGCAGGGGCCATCTCGAAGCGGCAGTGACTCCCCACCCCACCCCTCCTGTCCATCTGTCTCCCTGGCCTGGGCCTCTGCTCCCTCCCTCCCATGGTGCAGCCCAGCTCCCTCCCCCTCCCACCTCTCTCCTCCGTCTTCCCTGCCTTTCCCCACCTACTCCCTTCCTCATCCTGCCTCTGAGTCATTCATTCATCTAAGCTATGCTTTGTGCCAAGTCCTCTTCTGGGCGCTGCTGGGGACAAGCAAGACAGACCAGAAGGCCCTGCCCCCAAGGGGCTGACATTCCAGTGGAGGCAGACGCAGCGCACACCGAACTTGAGATCAGCTCCGTCTGTCTGCAGGGAGCAAGACCCGGGAGAACGGGACGCAGAGGATCCGGGACCGGCGGAGGCTTGGTCCGGGGTGGTCCCAGGGGGCCTCCGTGGGCAGGTGACACTGGAGCTGAGTCCTGCGGGAGCCCACTGTGCCACAATGTGGAGGAAACAGAATCGCAGGCCGAAGGAACAGTGTTCTGGGCGCAGGGAACAGCATTCAAGGCACAGGGAACAGCATTCTGGGCAGAGGGGACAAGGGGAAAGGCCGCCCCGCGGGGATTAAGTCTGATGCGTGGGAATGGCAGGAAGCGGCCCAGAGCAGCCAGGGTCACCGACCCCGCGCCGTGGTTCTCTGGGGCTCTGCTGGCTCGCTTGTGCGCACGTGCACTGGGCCACTTCCACCCTGTTAGCTCTGCTATTGGAAAGCACCTACTGCAGCTGCCCCGTACCCCAGGGGCCACACCCAGGACCTGGCCCTGCCAGCAGGGTGCCGGGCTTTTTAGCCCTCAGCAGCCTCTGTCCTGTCCAGCCTCAAATCTGTGCCTCCCCTCCCCCCACTCGGCCTTCTCCCGATGTCCCCGCTTCTGCCTTCCCACCCCCATAGACGCCTCACAAATCCCACCCCCAGCTTGTCCTCCCCACCCCCCACCGCGCCCTGCCCTGTCCTGCACCAAGCCCCAAGCCCCGCCTCCTCACTCCCGAGCCCCATGCAGCCAATCAACTCCCACCACAGGCTCCACACCCAGCCCCGGCGCCTCCCAGCTCCGCCATCAACAGCTGTGTTTTGGGGGCCACTTGTACTCCTCTGGCCCTCAACTGACCCCAAAATAAAGTAGGGGTCACATCCGGCCCCTCTGGGGGGGGGGAGCTGTGGGATGTGCAAGCGATGAAGAGCTTGTCAACTGTGACCTGATCACCAGGCGACACTGTGTGCCCCAGCCCCTCCCACTTTGTACACACAAAGGGGCTGCAAGAGCTTCATTGAAAAATGAAATGAAGAGAGAAGTCCAGGCAGGGCGGGGGTAAGGCGCAGTGGTCAAGCACACACTTCGGATGCCCAGCGCACATGGCAGTGCCTAGGTGCCAGACCCAGCTCCACTCCCGACTCTGGCTTCCAGCGAACGTGCACCCGGGGAGGTGGCAGGTGCTACCTCAGGTGGTTGGGTCCCTGCCACCACATAGCAGATCTGGATGGAATTCCAGGTTCTGGGTTTGGGCCTCGCCCAGCCCTCGCTGTTGTGGGCATTTGGGGAGCGAACCAGTGAATGGGAGCTCGCTCGCTCTCTCTCTCCCTGCTCCCCAGTCTCTGTCTGTGCCTTTCAAATAAACAAAAAAAATTTAAATATAAGTTTATTTTGTTGCAAAAAGATTTTGAAAGCCACACACAGGTTCTTCATAATATGCGTTTCCCTAGGAGCTTCTAAAAGATTTTATTTTTTATTTATTTGAAAGGCAGAGTCATGGCGGCGGGCGGGGGGAGACGCAGAGAGAGAGATCTTCCCATTCACTGGTTTACTTCCTGAGTGGCTGCAACAGCCAGAGCTGTGCCAATCTGAAGTCAGGAGCCAGGAGCTTCTTCCAGGTCTCCCATGTGGGTGGCAGGGGCCCACGCACTTGGGCCCACCTTCTGCTGCTTTCCCAGGCGCATTAGCAGGGAGCTGGATCGGAAACAGAGCAGCCGGGACTTGATCCGGTGCTCACGAGGGATGCTGGTGCCGCAGACGATAGCTTAACCTGCTGCACCACAGCATCGGCCCCTGCCGTGAACTTTTTGAAGACCCCTCATATTAGCTCATCTGAACTCTCAGGACGAACTCGTGCAACAGCCATGATTACGACTCTCAGTCCACGCGTGAAGGAACAGCACCAGAGAGGTTAAGAAACCCGCCCAAGGTCACAAAGGAAGCAGCCATGTCCACAGCTGAACCCTGTCGGTGCCCTCAGCAGACTTGCGAACCCCTGGACACAATCAGGCCCCGTGGGCTGACACCTGCTCCTGCGACTCCTGCCTTCCCAGGTGCCCGCCAACCCTGCCCGGTCCCCCCCTGCCTCCCAGCCTCCTCCTCCTCCAGGCTGTCAGGCAGACCCTCGCACTCAGCATCTGGAAGCTTCTCTCATCCCCCCCACCCCGCCCCCTCCGCCCCCTCCCAAATCCCAGTTTCCCTGAGTGTGAGTAACACCAAAGCTATCAGCTTTCACCCAGCACCCCCCCCCCCGTCACCCCGCCATGACACCTCCCGCCTCCTCCACCTGGCCACCCCCAGGAGTCCCAGCCCACAGGGGGCCTCGCCTCTGGGCAGGGCGTCCTGACGCACTCAGGCAAGCACCCCTCACCCAATCCTCCGCCTCCCCCTCCAGCCCCGTCTCTGTGCTGTCTCTCCCCCTCTCCCTAATTATACAATTCCAATCCCCAGGTCCGTTTCTCTGGGGCTCGGAGTCACGGTGAGGTCTTGGCAGCAAGCGGATCTGAGTTCCAATCCAGCTTCCTGTGTGACCTTGGGCGAGTTATCTGCCCACCCTGGGCCTCAGTTTCCCCCGACTGCAGGCAGCCAGCGGGGCTGCGACACGCCTTTCAGCAGCTCTGTCCCTCGCTCAGGTTCCAGCCTCTCCGGGTTCCCGTGAGCGCTGCGCAGGGCTCTGTGCCTACTGACGTTTATGCAGGCCTGAGCATCTGTTCAGTAAAACTTTCACGGGGAAGCAAACCTTGAGAATTTCCCTCTGTCACTGGCCCGTCTCTCTTCGCCCAATTCTTGGTACCCTGAACCCCCAAAACCCAGGGGTCTCCCTCCCAATCCAGACCCTCTCTACCCCCAGCTTCTTTTCAGAGGCCGGGAAAGCAAGGGAAGCAAGGGCCCCCTGCGGATTCAGCAGACGTGGTCGGGGCCCAGTGCTGCCCACCTGCCCCTGCCACTTGTGTGTGACCTTGGCCAAGTCCCTTCCCATCTCTCAACTTCAGTCTCCTCATCTGATGGCCATGGCCACAGCCCCTGGGGAAGACTCAGTGCCTCACTGAGGTAGCATCACAGGGCCCCCAGGACACAGGGGCTCCAGGGAGGGCTCTGCCTCCATGGGGTCCCCCGCATCCCCCCTGCCCCCCCTGCACCCCCCATCCCAGAAACCATTCCCACTAAGCCTCACTCCCCAGCCCCTGCCCAGAGCAGCCCCCACTGCAGCCTCCAGGGCGGCCCTCACCTGTCTCCTGATCACCACTCACTGCCTGGTCAGCCGGCTGCAGCCAGGCCCCCTCTGGCCTGCAGGCCTGGGGCCCGCGTCAGCCACCCCAGACGGCTCAGGATGCCCCAGTTCCCCGCTGCGGCCGGTGTCACACAACCCGAATCCCAGAACCTCCCGCCCTCCCCTCTGCGTTCCCCATCTTCCCCCGCCTGGGGTCACCCCGTCTCAGGCCCTGGTCCCCTGGCTACCTCCTGAGACCACCGCTTCCGTCCCCACGGCAGCGACACTCGAGTGCACACACACACACACACACTCACACTCATTCACGGCCAGGTGTGGGCACCTCACTCCCAACCTGTGTCCATCCTTAGCGCATCCCCCAAGCCTGGGTCCCACTCGCAGCCTGGCCCATTCGGCAGAGGCTCTCCCGGGGGGACGCCAGCACCCTGCACCGGCCCCCTGACATTCACTCTCCCCCCATCGGCAGCTGAGACCCCAGGGCCCTCTTGGGGACGCCGGGTGTCCCAGGCCCCCAAAGGCAGGTTCACCGGAGACATCAGGTGCCTTGAGATATCGGGGCGCCCCAGCTTCAACCTCCGGTCTCAGCATTCGCCCCCACGTCCCGGCGCCTCCCCCACTCCATCCCCACGCGCTCCCCCAAACTGGGGTCCCGCCCCCCCACCCCCCACCCCCAAGCTCACGCTCCGCAGCTCCTGAGTCCGATCCTTCATCCTGCGACGGCTCCTCCTCCTCCTCGTCCTCCTGCCTCTGCCACTGCTCCCTGCCTCCCACCTTGGTGCTGGAGGCCGGGGTCTGGGGGCGCCGGGGGGCGCGCCGGAGCCGCCGAGGGGCGCCTGCGGACGGGGGCGGGGCCGGGGGCGCTGGGCCGAGGGCCGGGCAGGGGCAGGGGCCTGGCCGGGCTCGGCTGTGCCCGGGCTGCGGTGGCGATGCGGCTGCGGCACAGGCTGGATGGAGGGATGCGGGCGCCCGCGCGCGGGGGGAGGGGGGCGGAGGGAGGCGAGGAGCCCGCGCGGGCGGGGGAGCCGCGAGGGGGCGGGGAGCAGGGGGCATGCGCAGCGCCCGGGGCTGGGGGCGCCTGGGGCTTGTAGTCCTGGGAGGGGGGCGCGCGGGGAGGGCGCGGCTGGGGGAGGGTCGAGCCGGGAGGGAGGGAGAGCTGCGGCGGCAGAGCGCAGAGGCCCGCACAGAGATGCGGGGTGGCCGGGGGGTGGGGGGGCGGAAGGGCAGGAGGAGGGGGGCGGCGCGAACGGAGGGCCCGAGCCGGGGAGAGGTGATGTGGGTCCCTTTGCACCAGGAAACCGGGACCGATTTTCCGCTTTGAGCCCGGGTGAGCCTGCGCACCACCACCTCTGGGAGCCGTGTGCGTGCGTCCCTGCGGGAGGCGTCTTGGACCCTAGAAATAGCTGGCCGGACCCTGTGTGCGGCCTTGCGGATGCGAGCAGCGGCCAGGCGCTGGCTGAGAAGCACCGGGGGCTTGTTTTGCATAGCCGTCCCCACTCCCCCACCCCCCGCAGTGGTGAGTCTCAAGCGCTCCGCTTGGCTGCCTCCAGGGACTGGGTGCTCACTACCTCCACAGGCGCCCCGACCCATTCTTAGATGGCATCGACTCCTACAAATTAAATTCTCCCTTACTGGGAGGGGAAACCTGGTATCCCTGGGGGGCCCGCGTTGCCCTTTCTGCCCCCTCCTTTACGACCCCTCCCGTCTAACCATCTCCACTCTCGACATCAGATCACCTGCTGCCCCTGCGGCAGTGGGCTCTGGCTCTCGGCAAGACAGGCCTTGACCCCGCCTTGGTCAAGTACCCAGTGACCTCCTGGGAGCCAAGTCCACGGCCGCGGCTCCGTGACCTTTCAGCAGCAATGGACCCCGATGACCTCCCTCTTCTGTGAGCGCTCTCCATCTGGCCTCCAGGCGGCCTCCTGCCCCCTCCTGACCTCCTTCCAGGCCCCACCTTTCTCCCACACCTGGTCAGCATCAGGGGTCCCTGGGCCCATCCCAGGTTCTCCTCTTCACTTCCCTGCACCCGGATGTACCTACAGCACCCACAGGTCTCCCTGTAAACCATATCCGTCTCCTCAAAGGCTGTGTACCTACTGTGTGCCTGACCTGTGTGCCTAACCCTGCACTGGGCACCAGAAATAGCAGAGACAAAAGAGTGGGTCCACGCTGTCACGGGCAAGGCCAAGGTCGATGTGGGAACCTCAGTGATGGCGGTGGTCTGGCCTCCCCACCACCACCAACACCAACACCGAGGGCTTCTTCCTGGGTTCCTCATGAGAGATGGTTTTCCGTCCCACCCAGAGACGTGAGTGGTACTTGGCTGTCCGCCCCCATCCTAACAATGCTACCTGTCTTCCGCGTGCCCCCAGGAGAGCTCCTGCAGGCCTCCCATCCTCCAGGGTCCAGCTCAGGAAACCGAGGCCCTGAGTGGTTCACTGCCACCTCCCTTGTTCCCAAGGTGAATAAAGGCTGGGGGGCTGGGGCTCTCTAGGGCGGCTTTGGATTGCAAAGCCTGTTTGTGCAACGCCACGGTATCAGAGCAGCGTCGCCCTGCACTGTAGCATCCACAGCCCTCGTAGTCTCCCAGGTCTGCTGTGTCCCCGGAAGCTTAGCTCAGGTTCTAACCACACCACTCCACGCACCTCTACGCCTCTCACCCTATGTTTCCCGAGATGCTAGTCAGCCCGATTTTAAAATTTTGAAAAGCAGAGTTTACAGAGAGGCAGAGAGAGAGAGAGAGAGATCTTCTACATGCTGGTTCACTCCCCAAGTGGCCGCAACAGCCAGAGCTGAGCTAATCTGAAGCCAGGAGCCAGGAGCTTCTTTCAGGTCTCCCACACAGGTGCAGGGGCCCAAGCATTTGGGCCATCCTCCACTGCTTTCCCCGGGCCACAGCAGAGAGCTGGATCGGAAGAGGAGCAGCCAGGACTCGAACTGGTGCCCATATGGGATGCTGGCACTGCAGGTGGTGGCTTTATCTGCTATGCTACAGCGCCGGCCACCAGCCACTGATGATAGATAGACTTCCTGTCCTCCCAGGTCCTGTGCAAGTTGCTCCCAGCAGTCAGGCAGCTGGTCTCACCAGGTGTGGGTGGAGCCTCACCAGGTGTGGGTGGAGCCTCACCAGGTGTGGGCGGAGCCTGCTTCCCCCAGCGACCAACACAAGGGCAAGCATAAATTAGATGCTCATTACAAATCCAAACGTGTGGCATTGTTCCCTCCTGCCTTGGCTTAGGCATAAAGACAAAGGAAATAAGCTGCACTAGAAGGCAGGCATTTGGGTCTGTTCTGTTCATGGCTGGTTCTCCAGCAGCGCCTGATGCCTCCAGCACACAATAAGTGCTTAGTGTGTGCTTATGAAATGAATCAGAGTGGGAGCTGCACAACTCGGGTCTGCCTGCACAATGCCATGACCTTGGCAATGCCATTCTTTATATATATGGTAGTTTTTTAAAAAATATATATTTATTTATTTGAAAAACAGAGTTACAGAGACAGGGAGAGAGGGAGAGAGAGAGAAAAAAAGAGAGAGAGAGAGAGAGAGAATCTGCTGGTTCACTCCCCAGTTGGCCGCAACAGCCGGAGCTCCGCTAATCTGAAGCCAGGAGCCAGAAGCTTCCTCTGGGTCTCCCACACAGGTGCAGGGGCCCAAGGACTTGGGCCATCTTCTACTGCTTTCCCAGGCCATAGCAGAGAGCTGGATCAGAAGTGGAACAGCTGGGACTCAAACCAGCGCCCATATGGGATGCCGGCACTGCAGGTGGCGGCTTTACCTGGTAAGCCACAGTGCTAGCCCCTGTATATAGAGGTTCTCAGACCTCTCCCCTGTAAATTATGATTTGGTAGATCTGGCCTGGGGCCTGGGAATCTGGATTTTTAGCAACTCCCTCTGGTGATTCTCATTTTCAGTTAATTCTGGGGACCGCAATGTATTAGGTAGGTTAGCCAAGACTGTGCTATGTAACAAGCATCCCCTTGGGTCTCAGTGTTGTAATGTGACAAAGTCTGCTTTTGTAGTGGGTTTAGGTGTCTGGGTTGCTTCCCAGAACACCTGTTCTTACGAAAGACACAGTGCTTTGAGTGGATGATTTGCTTTTGAATTCTTTTTTTTTTTTTTTTTCATGCACTTGAAAGGCAAAGAAGGAAATGTACCAATCTGCTGGTTCACTCCCCAGATGCCCTCAACAACCAGGTTGCTGAACAGGCTTAAGCCAGGGGCTTGGAATCTGGGACTCCCACGTGGGTAGCAGAGACCCAAACATGTGGGCTTTCATCTGCAGCCTGCCAGGATGCATTAGCAGGAAGCTGGAGTCAGGGACAGACCTAGGACCAGACCCCAGGCACTCGCATAGGAGATGCAGGCGTCCCAAGTGGTGGAGAAATGTATACAGAGCTTATCTCTCAGCCCGGCCTGCGAGGCTTGCAGTGCCCCAAATGCAAGGATCCCATCTGCTTCAGCTCTGCTCCCCCATTGGCACCTGGCACAGGCCCCAGTCACACCTGCTGTGCTCATGAACAAAAGAACCGGATATGGATTTGCCTTGCCATTGGAAATGCAGAGGGTGGGGGAGGGAGCAAACACCATCCCCTGTTCCGGGGCCACCGCTGACCTAACTTTTCTAAACCCGGCTTCCCAAGTCTGTAAAAACAATTCTGGCAACCAGCACCCCATGAGAATGTGAGTGTGGAAGGTATAGTGTGACCTTCGAATTCCAATGCAAGCAGAGGCGAAAGAAAGAACCCTCCCCGCTACCCCTCCAGCCTCACGCCCGGTTATATTCATGAGGCCCTGGGCTTTGGACACACATCCCTCTCTTCCACCCATCATAAACCTGGAAAGTGAACGCAATGCTGAACAAATTACCCACAGTGATGGTAATGACTGACTCTCCACGGCTCTGTCTTTTGTTGTGTGTGTGTGTGTGTGTGTTTGAACTCAATTAGTCTTCCTCCTAAGCTTCTAGGCTAAAGCTGTTATTATCTCCAGTTATAGATATGGACACTGCATCATAAAGAGTTTAAATACCTTGGCCCAGGCAGGGTCTGGGATCCAGTCCAGCTGAAAATCGCAGATCATCAACTGTTCTCCTGCTCAGCTGGTCTCTGGCTTCCAGGGTGCTCACTGTGCAGCAGAGACTGATCCTGGCATTGACCTTGTAGACTCATTCTGGAGAGAACTGATGCCCTCACAATATGGAGTTTTCCTATCCATTTACATGGTATATCGATCCATTCATTTAGGACGTCTTGAAAGTCCCTGCATGTTTTTTTCTTTTACTGTTAAAATTGTATTTATTTGAAAGAGTTACTGAGAGATAGAGAGAGAGAGAGAGAGAGGTCTTCCATCTGCTGGTTCACTCCCCAAGTGGCCGCAGTGGCTGGAGCTGAGCCATTCTGAAGCCAGGAGCCAGGAGCATCCTCTGGGTTTCACCACACAGGTGCAGAGACCCAAGGACTTGGGCCATCTTCTACTGCTTTTCTCAGGCCATTAGCAAGGAGCTTGATCGGAAGTGGAGAAACCAGGACTCGAACTGGCGCCCATATGGGATGCTGGCACTGCAGGTGGGTGCTTTACCCACTACTCCATAGCACCAGCCCCGCCAGGAGCTTCTTCCAGGTCTCCCATGTGGGTGGCAGGGGCCCAAGCACTTGGGCCACCTTCTGCTGCTTTCTCAGGTGCATCAGCAGGGAGCTGGATCAGAAGTGGGGCCACCGGGACTTGAACCAGAATCCATATGGGACGCTGGTGCTGCAGGCGGTGCCAGTTTAACCCGCTATGCTGCAACACTAGCCCTGAGATGTGAGTAGTTAACTGCTAGGCTAAATACTCCCCCACCCCTGCACCTGCACCCTTTGTCATTTCCTAACAGTTTCTTGCTGTGGTTTATAAAAATCAACTTATTTAAAATCTTTCTAGAAAATGGATTGCACAGAAAGCCAAGCCAGAAACCTGGGGGCGATGGTGGGCCTT